CTATCCTGGGCACTGGGAATGCCCACGCCCACTGGTGTGTACTGGCACTGCCCACAGGTACCTACCGGGCCCAACTTCCCAAATATATACTGCTCGTCTCGGACATTCAGCTCTTTCCCCTCGGTTTAGCTTCCTCCGCACAGAAACAATTCTACGGTATCAGTCTCCTTAAATTTCAGGCACTGTCCTTCACACACACGGTCAGCCCCAACAGCCCTGCATGCCGGGGTCCGAGAAGGGCAGCCAGTCAGTGTGGGGGCGCGCGGGCGAGCCCGAGGGGTGAGGATTAGCTCCTGACGATCGCGATCAGTGTGAACGAAAGAGCCTCACCCCAAACGGGCCGCGTTAACGAACCTTCCATCACCATCGAAGGCACTGGAGGAGGCTTTCAGTGAACCACTGTTGCCCGTGACGCGCACAAACAAAAGGTACCCTCATCGTGCACAGATACATAAACATTTTGCAGCGCCGCACACAGAGTGCCCATACTGTACACAATCTCTCCAGAACCACAGCTTCGCACTTCCAAAACACAGAGGACAGCAAGGACTGTCCAGCCCTGGGGCTCCCCCCTCGACCCCAGGGGACCTCCTCACACAAAACAGGAAGGATCTGGAATGTAGGTGAGGAAACCATTCCACAGTGGGAAAATGAATCATCAAAAAATAAACGACAAAGGAAGTTAGGAGGCGAGTGCAAGAGGTGGCAGTGGAGTACTGAGGAACCGGGCCCTGCAGACGGGACTCCGCACCGAGCTGCCCGCTCTCCGGGACAGAATCCCTCACGTGACCTTTTATCACTAATCACACGAGTCGCTTCAGAACAACACACTCATCTCCCCGGGTCGCTCCACCGAAAGGGCCCAAGAACTGGGACGCAACATCGCCTCCTGCTGGTCAAACAGGAACAACCACTCTGCTCTAGGGGGTCTCGCAGGGGGTGTCCGCCATCGCCACAGCCCACTTCCCCCCTCCGAGAGCGACACCAACGACCGCTTCCCCGCAGAGGTGCTGTCCCAGAAGCGCCGG